CTTGTAATAATAAGCCTAGTGATTCACTTCATATCTTTAAAGCAGCTTCCTGACTAAAAGATAAAGTAATCTCTTTCTTCCCCTTTCTGGATCCTCTACTTTCCCTAAGTAGAACATTTCTAGGTTAGTGACCTTCCAATTAACTTCAAGGTTAGTTACCTCTTGAACAACTACAGGTTAGTGATCTATATCAACTCACAGGTTGGTGTACCTTCTGAACAACCGTAGGTTAGTGACCTATATCAACTCTCAGGTTGGTGTACCTTCTGAATAACCATAAGTTGGTGACTATGTAACAACCAGACTAGTGACTCTATACCTCACTCTTCAATCAGTCATTTTGAAGATTGAAGGAAAGCCCTGGATCCAGCTTTCATATTCCTTATAATTATAATCTCCTCTTCAGGAGTCATTTAACTGTAGCCTGTCTGGATTTACCCAAACAGGCCAGTCCTCTTCTCCTTCCCTCCTTTTCTTCCCTAAAATCTTATTGTAATTACCTTACATTGAAATATACATATAATTATTTAAAATTAAAAACTACCCTGACCACCTTTAGTGAGCATTGAGTATCCTTTTGAATACCCAACCCTCACATAGTTCAAGCCATGATACAATGTTTTTTGGCCAAATATCAGGAATGTCCTCTAGACATACAATGGGATTGTTGTGCCAGCACCATCATTGCATTGAGATGGATGCTGGTGCACCTGAGTGGCAGCAAAACAAGATAACACTTGTCCCAAAAATACTTGTTGAACATCACTCATGAGAAGCCAAAAATTGAAGCACAAAGTGGGCTTTGAGCCCAAAGCGCATGTGCAAAATGGACTCCCAACAAGTGGTTTGACCATTGTGCTATCAAGACTGTGGTGGAAGATGAGGAACAAATTATGGAATAGGATTTGACTTGGCTGTAAAGGCTGAAAAAGTGCTGTAGTTGAGCTGTATTTTAAACTACATTGTAAACTACAGGTTGACTTGTTTGAGAATATTGCCAGTATGTAGCTGTCAGGCTTGGTCTACATTCCACCAACATCCACATTGGGCACAGGCCACTAGGCCTAATTTTCCCTTTGATCTTTCATCCTTTTTGAAAACAACTGTATATGTAGTCAATTTTTGGAATGCTTTTGTCAAGCTGGAAAATATTACAGAAGGTATTGAATATGAATTACTCATCCAGATGGGCCAATATCTGAGCATCTCTGTATGTATGTACATGATAGCTCTCAATTTACCCATCCTGCTGTGCATATGTAGTGTGGGTTCCATGGCTCAGGTGTGCAGTCATCAATGCGTTATGACCAACCTGGCTTCAATTTAACATGTCCCCAATATTTGCTGATTATTATATGCCTGTTCCAAATGTTGTGGAGGCATTGCCTGCCCAACCTACATTGTCAATGGCTCTAGCCTTCATAGGGCGCCTCCGGGGAATTTTCTGTAAGGATGCACTCCCAACATTCATGTTGTCTCAAACAGCCGTTGGCATCTTTCTTTTAGCTGCATGATTGTTCCATTACATAAGCCAACTGTAGTTGTTTGGAAGGAAGCAATGCAGTTGGGGTGTGATTTAGGCAACATGATCCTGGTGTCCATTGATCTTTGGTAACTCTTTATGAGTCATATATATCTTGGCAAGGAATTCATCTAGTTGTTTCTAACTTCACAGGAGGATGTTCCACTGTTTCTTGGTGGTATTCCACAGGAATACAATTTATTTCTGCTGCTAACTGAAGTGTGAGAATTCTGTCTTGCTGGTTTTCACGCTTAGACTTGAGCTGTTCCTGAAAATGTCATCCATATATTATGGGTCAGAGCTGTTTTCTTCCTAAGGAGAAGATTGTTGTCTACCCATCTGGTTGCCTCTTCTAGTTTGAATTCCGCCTTTATCAACTCTTCCCACCTGTTGGCTGGTCCACCACAGCTACCACAACCTGAAACTCCTCCAAAAGAAATGGTCAAATCAATATAGATGAAACCATTGAAGTCGGAGATAAGAAGGTATGGCCACTGGTCATGCCTGGTTGAGATTTTCCCATAGGCCTTTTTCCAATCAAAAGAAGGCCATTAAGAGAAGGTAGTTGCAAATGTAAATGAAGGGGTATACCATATAGAAAGTGTCTCAAGCTGTTTCAAATTCATCCTTGTTGACACATGAATTTACACTGGCAATTTCAGGGTTGTCCTTTGGAAAGGACAAGTCATTTATTGGCCAAAAAGACTGGTCACTGTTGATGACTGCTCCCATAGGACTAGACCAGAAGAACTTGAAATGTTTCTCTACTCCTTCTTTCATGAAAGGTCCTAGTATCCTGCCTGCCTTCAAATCTTTAGCTATACTTTCTTCAGTCTTTTGTATACCTTGGTTGAACCTTTATCTGAAACTGTGCAAGATGAAGTCCTAAAAAGTGAGTAAGTTGAGTTTCTTGAGTTCTTTTTCCCACACTTCAATATACATGTTGCATTTAGCTACTGTAGGCCACTTGGGTGTTGTGTTCTCCTTGACCATCTCTAATGTAGAATTGGTGTTTATATCTTTTACCACTGGAGTGGTGTCTCTTGATTCTTTCTGAGCCCCTTTTGCTGTACTGGATGTGATTGGCAAGGTGAAGAAACACATAATAATGAGATTCTACATTTCGAATTTCTATAAATAGGAGATGTGATCAAAGGAAGAGAGAAGAAGGGCTACAAGGTTTGGTATGTGGCACTCATGGGGTCATGAAAGGAAACAATTAAAAGAGCAACTTAAGAAAGAATGAGATGGTACTATTAGAGGTCTTTCAGAAATCTAATTTCTAGGTATAGGGAAAACAACTGTGTAATTGGTGGGGTAGACTATGCTTGGTGAACGATTGTGTTTGAAAAGATGTGGAAAAGACAAGTATTTTGATGTAGAAGGAGTATTGTCATGTGTCCAAATAACTCACACTTCTTTCTGTGGCTGTCTGCCTCCACTGCCTCTACCACCACTCCATGATCCTCTCCTGCCTGTATTTGGGATACAGTTAAGGCTGTTGATCTTGTTTCCCTGGTGGCTTGTACCTTCTTGAGTTGCCACCTTGTGAATGTCAGGCAATGGTTGGTTTTGTACTGGGAAGTCAATGTTTGGTTGTGTCATTGGATTGGTACAACTTTGTTGTGGGGTGTGTGGAGGATGTGGTTGCCTACGTCTCCTTTGGAAAGGTTGAAACATTGCTTGGAAACTATCATGTTTAGAAGTTGAAACTACTGGTTGTGCAGCAGTTGGTATATTGGTGGAAATTAATAATCTGCTTCATTTTATTTTTACTTCTTAGAATCATTGTTACAGCCGTTTCAAGAAAGGTTGACAACTTTTTTTGGAGAAAGTTGTCTCCGCAGCGGGTAAAACCAGAGACAAAACTTGATTTACAGGTTTATTCTTTTCTGTATTCTTCCAATTAGCGGAGAGACAAAATTGGGTGAGGGACAAAACAGGACAAAACCCGGGTTTTGCACATTGGCAAGATTTTCAAAAAAAAACAATCTTTGTTGAAACAGCTGTAAAAGGAATGTCTACAGTGGCTTACCTGTCTCTGGATGTTGTGATTATAGTTTTCCTCCCTTAGCATATGAGTTGCTTTCTCCTCTGTTTTATTCTCTGTATCTAAGGGACTTATCCTTTGCTTGATTCTTGTCAATAAGGAGGCTTATTGAGCAAGGAAATAACCATGTAATAGTTGATACAGTCAAACCTGCGCAAACACATAATTTGGGTGGAAGACTTTTGCTATGCATTTTGGCGGGTTGTGCATTTCTGTTGTCAAATTTGGCAGTGAAACATATCAAGATTCAAGATTTTTTCTATGCATTATCACGGGTTATGCAGCTGTGTGGTAGACCAACCTGAGCAAGCAAATTGAGGAAAAGAATTCAGAACCCACCGCCAAGAAATTCACGTCGGAATGCCCCTTCCGATGTCACATCGTGGACGGTGTTCCGAAGCAGGGTCGGGGCCAAATTGTGCGATAGAATTGTTGTGCGATGTGTAATCACATCTTCACTGTCCGATGGGATCCGCAGTCCGATTGAGGATCGCTTTGGCACAACCGATGAAACTGAGCGCCGATCCCAAACCGCATTGGTGGCCGCCGACTGAACCTCAGTCTGATCAGGTCCGATGGCTACTTGTATAGCGCTCATCCGACTAAAACAAATGTGCGATACAATCATCGCATCGCATCCCCTCTGAGCAACTAAATGTCGGGCCTTTTGTCCCGATTCAATCATTTTTTCGATTTCATGTCGGTGTTTGAATCGCGATTCAATCCCCTGAATGCCCGATTCAATCTCGCTGGCGAGGCAACTTCGGTTGCATCTTAGCGACGCATTCCAAAAGCAGCCGATGCAATCGGCGTAGGACCGATTTGGTCTCGAATCGACACAAAAATTTCAGAAAAATTTTCTGTCTTGCGAGCTCTTCGAACTTCGAATCTGAGCTCTTCGAGCTCTTCGAACTTCGAATCTTAAGCTCGAGTGTCAGAGGTCTGGGCTTTGAGCCTCAAGAGACCTTGACATATAAAGCTTCGAAGTTCGAACTTGACTTTGAAGTTCGAACTTGCCCTTGAAGACTCAGCACGTAGCCACTCTTGCGATTAAGTGCTTCCATGTAGTCAGGGTGATGCGGAGAGGCTGAGATCCAATACTCTCCTTTGATGTTCAGCATGTATGCATCCTCAGAATAGTGTGTTCTTCTGAGGATGAATAGTCCAGATGCGCATTTCAATCCATATAAGATAGGGTTCAACTCACGCGATCATCTTCATATTCAACAGTTTCTCGCTTCATCTCACTTTGACACCATTTATCAATTCATTAAGGCCAATCACCCAAGAAAGCAAAGTCTTGAAAGATGAAAACGTTAGCTCTGATACCTTGCCACTGTTCCGACTGTGAAAAAAACACCTACCAACATCCCCAGACCAATGCTAAAGTATACGGAACGCTCTGGAGACCTGCAAATCACAAAAAACATGTCAAGAGCTTCGGGACACGCGCGACATGCACGGCACAAAAACTCTCTTTATCCTCGGATATTTCAGGTAGGTAGACGTTCTCTCTTGTTAAATTGTTAATATTCCTTGAGAGTCTGAGAGCAAGCGGTTGATAGATACACGATCACCATCACAAGATGCCCAAAAGGCCTCAATGGAAAGTTTGCCTCTTGCTTCTTCGAACTTAGAAACAACAGCTTTCAATCGTAAAGCCACAGAAAGCCACTTCCAACCATCATGGGATGGGCCAATCATAGATTCAAGTGTGTTTCATCATCTTTTATTCAATAGAGTTCTATCTTTATGTGAATTTTGTTGAATTTTTGAATTTTTGACAAGCAGGCATATACAGTACAACACACTACGACAAGTTTCGACGTTGGAAGCCTTCTGACCTGGCTTACTTCCTTATGATCACATGTTTACACCTTATCAAAAATATCAGTGTGGAGGCTGCCACGCTTTGCTTGCATGTCATAGGTGCAGTCTCCACCTTCAACACCGATGAAAAGTCTTTGCAGGCCACTTTACCAAAGGCTATGAGTACATTTCTTGATGGACTACGGATTGAGCCAAAGATTCGCAGAACAGTGTGCTGCCCCAAATGCTTCAGTATGTACTATGGTGATAAGATTCCTACATTTTGCACGTCTCAAGTTACTCCCAGGAGCCGTGTATGTTCAGAGCAGCTTTTACACGAAGCAGGTATTCATGATGGGACAACCCCAAAAGCATGCCGGCTCTTTTCGACTGTATCCTTTACTGATTGGTTAGCTCGTTTTTTGAATCGACCTGGGATCGAGGATTTGCTGGAATGGAGAGACGACTATTTCAAAACGCAAGGTCCGATCATGAAGGATGTCCGGGACGCTTCAATGTGGCACTCGCTTCGTGGGGAAGATGGACAGCGGTTTACCTCCTCTCCCGGAAATCTGGTGTTTGCTTTGAATGTTGATTGGTTCAATGCAAATTGGA